TTAGCAAAACCAAAAGAAAGTCTGAAATATATTATACCATCCTATGTATTCAATCAGTTTATAGATACCATTTTCAACCAGTAGTTTATCAGTTTGGATAGCCATCCTGCATCACCTGAGACCACAGTTTAAAGACGTTAAGCCTCTGCAGATCTCTCTGAAGTCAAAATGAGATTCAGGTACTAAAAACAAGCCTTTGATGAGCTCTCAAAAATACAGCATCCAAAATACCATCCACTTAGGAATATCTGGGCTAATGTGCATAAAATACTATTAAATATATTGGATTCATAATTCGTAATACTTCCTCGTTAAATTCTTTTATTCTATTCCTTGTCTGACCTTTTCCCAAATTAGTATAGCGTGTTTTATTACTGCTGCATTGAGCTAGACATTGCTATGCGTTTTAACGACGACATTTTAAACTACAAGCCCCACACCTACCAGTGAAGTCCACATCAACAGAACCTTGTACTCCCACAGAGCTTAAGGCAGGCGGAAGAACAACAGCTGGTTATAACACCGAGTAAATCTGCCAATGTTTTCAGACAAGCCTAAGAAAATTAAGTAACAAAATCCCAGTCATCTTAAATGGCACCTGATTCCCTTAAGTGCCTTTGAACTTATTTATAGGATGATCAAGTTTGTACCCATTAAAGAAAGCATTTCTGCAATTATTTGCATTTGGGTAGCTCTTTGAGGCCACTGTCAGGCCTGCCCTCTGATTAAATGAACAAATACATAAATAAAGCACTTATATCTAATGAAGCAGATGTTTAAATCCTCTTAGAAAGTTTTAGCACACTGTAACGGCCTTCTAAACAAGTAGTCCTTTACCTGAGGAGACTGTAGCTTAGTTGGAAAACACCTGCCAAAAATACATTAACTCAGGACAGGAAAAAGAAAGCAAGATGCAGAACTGAGGCTAAGGAGGCTAACAGTACTAGGGCAAGTAAATAAAAATATGCAACCTCACAAAAAAACACATCATCTCCACCAAACAAGTTTATTCAGCTTTTTGACTATCTGAATCAACATACAAACATTAATTACTACCTGATTTTACGAACATATTTAGTGCTGTGTTTAGTAGAAATAATAAGTGTCATAGTAAACACAGCACTGCTTTTTATTTTATTTTTTAGGAGAGCTGGCATGGAACCTTATGGCCAGCCAGAACCCATTAAAGAAGATAAGGCCAGGCTTGGACTGAGGACTGTAAAGTTTATTTTTTACTTTAATGAGCTTTGAACTGGACTGTAAACATACAATTAAAGACATCTCATTTGAAGTGCCTAACTTAACCTTTGGTTTCTTTTCAGCTTCTATACTTCACATCTACCCACAGAGTTCTGTTCAACAGCCATGTAGTCAAACATAGCCATAAAAGTGTTTTCATAAAAGAGACTTATTTTTATTTATAAATAATTTATAAATCTTATGGATACAGCATTAATTTCTACAAAAAGATAGTCAGCCGCACTGACACAACATACCTGATATGCTGTTAAAATTCGTAAGTTCAGAAGAAAAAAAAAGACTGCCTCCTTCTGGTAAGGACTTGCCCATCCTGCCCCCAATCTCTCCAAAGAGAGGTGTGCTACATTTTGGTGCACTTAAAACCAAAGAAAGAAAGGATGGCAGGAAACTTTAAATGCAGTGAGAGTTGCTACTTTGAGGGCTATTGCAAAGCAACAGTTTTGCAAAATCTAGCCAGGTTTTCAGAGGAATACGCAAGGTCTATGCTGCATTTTTGTGCTTGCCACATACCTTTTATTTTTGCCTTGGCAAATAAGTGTACAGTAACTATCCACTGTCTTGAAGAGATCGGACTGTTTCTTCCTCATTGACTCAATGGAAGATGTAAAAAATTCAACTTTTTTAGTTGAAGGAATTAATTTTCATCCAGTATAGCTGTCTAGACTAATCATGCTCATTATGACTGTAGTGCTGTGAGTAAATCTTATTAGGCACTCTAAAAGGAACATTATAAATTTTTAGCATTGCCTTAAAATCTACACTCAGTGTAATTACAGAATTCTCAAAATTAATAGATTTTAAATAATTATTTATTTATAGGTATTTAAATGGGCTTATATTGTAGCTTTTGGGTGTCCAATCACATTGTGTTTATTCGTACAGAAATTATACACTAACTTGCCAATATAGTAGAAGTGTGGAATGCTTCACAATGATCTTAGCAATAACTCAGAAAAAGGACCACTTCTTCAATGCAAATCCGCTCAAGAAAAGCTTCTACACACAAAGTAAGATGAACCAGTTACTGCATTGTTTATTAAGTTTCACTTGATTCCTCCTGACAACCATTTAAACAATGAATGTTGGGAAATGTCTCTCAAAGAATCAACAACAATGGCTGGGATCAGAGCTTTTATATTTAGCTAATACTGTTTTTAGAAAGGAGAGAATATTTCTTCCTGAAGGGATTATAGGAAGTCTTATAAAAGACACCTGCCAACAAAACAAGTGACAAAAGATCTCTATCATAATTGATAAGTTATCCTTTGTAAAAATCTGTGCTTCTTCAGAAATAAATATTATATCTTTGCTATTGAATTTCAAAACCACTAACCGACAAGCTTGCCAATCAAGAATAGTAAGTTTTAGAAAACCTGCCAAGAAGCAAGTGCTTTTGTCTTATGGATAGCAGCACATTATTAATCAACAGTAAGTTCCTAAATTTTCTTTTCTGATGCCAAATAGAACAGGCAGGCTTTGAAACATAGTATCTTTCTAATATTTTACTGGACATGTAACATCTACTTTATTTTTTTGAAAAGGAAAACTTCTCACTTAAAATACAAACTTCATAGTTTGACAAATTCTTCAATAGCCAATTTAAAATAAATGCACAGAGTAATCAACATGAAGGGAAATGTTTACAAAGTGTGGTTCACAGGAGGAGCTTGAAAGAAGAAAACAATCGCATCTAGACCAACAGCCTTCATTCTGTCCTCCCAGACCAGTTAAGTTTTGGTAAACATATACTCCCTAAAGTATCTATACACCGCTCAAATAACTAGGTTTTCCAATTTGCTAGTAGACATCCTCTGTATGTGCTGTGCATACAGGCTAGCTCCTTCCTCAGCTTTCTTTTGGAGCAAACCAGTTCCCTCAGGAAAAAAAAAAAAAGAGAGTGTAATTCTCGAGACAGTTTGCTTCAGGGTCTGCTCCCAAAAGGAGAGCACAAATGGACAAGACCACACCAATTTTGACTACTTCTGCTTACGCAGACTTTTCTAACATTTTCCCAGCAAATTTTGCATCCTCAGACAACCCCACATGCCTTTAAACCACATGCTGGGGCATGCAAAACACCCACTCAGTTTCTTGCTATAAAAACATCATGCAAGTGAGCTGCAACCCAACTCTCACAGCACTGTGAATGCACAGAACTAAGAAAAAGGGTTAATCATTTTATCTCAAGACCACAGGATGCAGAGGATGCTCTGGCCACGAGTAGTGCGTAGTATGAACATACATAGCACAGTCTGCTGTAAAGGGGACAAACTTATGCAAATACAAACCCCTCTGCATTGCTTCGTGTAATGGCCAGGGAGCACTATGCAAAAGAGATGGTTTTGACTTTGTGGATGTAAACCCCATGCTAAGAGAAGAGAATAGCCTGAGCTTCCAGCCAAAAAGAAATGCATATATGTATCGTCCCAAGAAAACTGAAATAAAGTAAGATGTTCCATCTAATAAGACAGTTAATGAGACTGAAGAAAATCTGCAATCTGTACAAACAGTAGAAAATGAGTAGTATAGTAGAAAGATGCTTATATTGCACCTTCAGGAAATAATTTGTCAAGGCCTTAAAAACCTTCAAAATCTTAATATTTACTATAAGCAGCTTCCTGACTCATAAAAACCTCCAATGGTTTTAATTGATAGGTAAAATACATCACCTTCCATTCTTCCCCAAAATGACATATGGCACTGTAATGCTTTGAAAAACAAACACACACTTCAACTTTAACAACTTCACTAAGACAAAGTCTCTTTCCTAGTTTAAGAAGTGTTTTTACTAACACCTCGGAATATTTTTTCTTATTTTCAAGAGGTCAGCATTAACAACATGATTAAACTGCTCAACCCAAATGTCTTACTTTTAAAGAAGTCAAAACAAGGTTTAGATCCTGAATAAGTTCTCTCTATGAGACGAAGCAAAGTCCGCAATAGCACCTTAGGAAACATTTCTGACTTGAGCATGATAGGTCTGATCTACTAAGTGGATCCAGATGATCCACCAAGTCATTGCTTTCTCTAGCCTCCACTATTTTGTGTATTCTGTGATTCATGTTATTTTGATACAGTATGATCAATTTTTTGCAGCTTTATGCTTCTGCAATTTTTTACAAGGAGGATTAATAGCAACTGCAACAGAAAAATTACCTTGATGTCATATATAATCCTTTATCCTTTCATCATCATCAAAATCTCAGTGCTTTGTCCATCTTTCTTGTCTGCAGCAACTTACTTCACTTGTTCCTATTAAGGCTATTATACTCACCCTATTACTACTAATCTTTTCTTTGTAAATAGCCACACCTATTTGAATCCAAAATGGTGTGGTAAGCATTTGATTCTTTGTGGAAGTAGACACGTAATTAGGTTAATCTGTGCTATCTTTTCATGTGAGTTGATTGTTTCTTTACTATGGACATATTTCTTATAACAGCAATAAGCTTGCCAGATTGCTTGGAGGCAAATCAGGAGCAATTTACAAAGCATGTAGCTACTATGAACTGAAATCTTGACATAATAGCAAGCTGTGTATAGCCACTCCTACCTGCCAGTTATTACTCATGTTAGCTTTTTACTGACACGTTAAATTTCAACCGCACCTTTCTTTCACAAACAAGTACTTTCATTCAACTCAGCTACATCTGTAACAAATAGCTGATCTTCACCAAACCATACAGGAATCTAAATTCAGAACGCAGTGCAGAAGCCTTTGACAGCAGCAACTGAATTACCTGCACGAAGTCCAAAAATGTCAACGGAAGTAAGTCATCCAGGTGGCCAATATCTTTGGAGAAACGATTTAAGATTCTTCCTATAGAAACAGAATTGGAGAATAAAAAGAAAAAGTAAATATAATTCCTTAAAAGATCATAATATCTTCAACACACTGTATTTTACCATTTTAGTAACAGTAAAGAGGAAACAGCTGGAATCTAAAGTTAAAAGGACACTTTTTGAAACCACTATGAAGGGAATGTCTTAACAACCACTGCAATATATTTTGAAGAGAATACTTTTTTTTACAAATGCCTTTCACCTGAATATAAAACCTTTACTTAAACGCTAGGAAAAAGTTAAAATCGGCTTTGAAGATAATAGTTCAATAGCATTTAACAGGTGAAACACATATGCTTTATATGCTCAACATGTGCAGGTAAAGGTTTACAGTTCAGACAACTTAATGCAAGTTTCATCAAGTAACATCAGCCAGAATCTGCTCCTATCCTTGACTGAAACTCACTAGTGCATGCATGTACCAGATAGATCATAGCTGATCTAACTGATCCTTTTTAGTATTTCTGTTCCCACCCCTCCACCATTACATGTAGATTCAAATTGCAGGCATTTCTGAGATAAAATTTGAGAAAGATTTGCGTTCTTGCAGCTTTACATTCAAAAGCTTGAAAACACTGATCTTTATTAAAACTAATAAAACAATTTTTAATCTGCTGTCACAGTGAAGCATTTACACGTCTCTATTTTCCAAAGTTCTACTTGAGTGAAAAAAAAAAAAATCAGTTATAACAAGAGTTCTTTAATAATTAAAGTCACAACACTGCCATCCATAAGTGGATTAGTATCTTTCTCTATTAATCGATACCTCTACTCACCAGGAAAGAAATGAAGCTAAGGATGGGAATCTGGCCTTTTCTAAGGGTGTAATGCCCGTACATGCATTCACGTTGCTTTTTTATCTACATATATCTTGATTCAGTCATTACTTCTAACTGGTACAAACACATTCACTGCATTGGCAACAAAAGACTTTTTCTTTTTCTTTTCAAAGGAGCTCATTAAACTGAAAGTAGTTAAGTTTAAGGTTTCCACAGAGTGTGTTGGAGACGTAATTCAGAGATAAGAGCATTAACTGAAGTAACTTCCGTAGCAACCACCATTCTAGTCTTCTGTTCACAGTTGTCTCGGAATTATGAATTTTGTTGCATAACATTGATTTCTTTTTTTAAGGGAATTTTTGTTCCACACCAAGCAATATGCAAAACATCCTCTCCTCAGGCCTGGGACATGACTCCAAAGAGAGATACTGGCTGCTAACAGCTTGTTCTGCAGTTCTTTACTACCAAAGGCAGACAACCGTAGGATGCATCCTATTTTTAGGCTTTGCACACAGAGAGGAAGGGCATATAGCAGCACAAGACTCAGCAAAATCTCTTTCATCTGTTTCCACTGGGAACGGCAGCTGTGGACATCCCCTTTCACTTATTTCATGTTGGGATATGATGTTCCTTCCATCGGAAGAAACCCCAAGGTTTTGTTTTTTGTTTTTTGTTTTTTTTTTTTAAGTTTCCTTTTCTTGGGATTTCCTTCCATGCAGAACAGTTGTGGAAGGGTAATTTAGCACTACTGCATGCATGCGTTAGCTAAGACTTCTTAATATTTCAAAATATCACATTTCAGGTTATTTTCAAATGAACCAAGACTTCATTGGCAAAGGAAAATCAAAGATGTTAAATGCTTCCTTCTGACAGGGCTTTTCTTAGCAGCTTGTCCAGGAAGGGCAGAGTAGGGAAACAAGATGGCATAATGGATTGGTCTCTGGGTATTAGCAATCTGTTCCCACCTTTGCCTTTGCCACTTGTCTCCTGAGTGACCTCACTTTATTCTACAGAGTGAAGGGCAGAGCAAGGGGAGGTTTCAGTGCTGAGCCCCTCCGTGAAACACTGAGACCCACCAATGACAAGCTGTATGCTAGGGCAAAGGATTATTCCTCTAGCAAGCAAATCCCATCTTAATTCAGCCTTACAATCCCCCTTAGCCTTTTAACCCAAATAAGTTTTATTTTTAGTGGTTTCAGATGGGTACAGGAAGCTACTGCGCAAAGACCACCACATGCAGCACTGCAGGAAGAGGCACGGTCACTCAGGCTAGCTACTTTCCATCCCACAGCGCACGTCAGGTCAAAGCTGGCACCTCCAGGAATCAAGCGATGCCTTCATGATCTCCCTTATCCCTCAAGTGGAAGAGCATACCCAAGCCTGTTCCTGGAAAAGCATTGTGCTTACTCTTATTTTGTACAGTATGGACAAGGCTTTAAGGGCTTGAGGAGAGAAGCCACTACAAAACACCTGCTGTCGAAAGCGATTTAACTCTTGGGTTGTTTCAGTTGCAGCAGTATCTTGGAGTTCAGCTCTCATTTCCCGCGCCTGAGATTTCTATTAAAGAATCACCCATTAAAGTTGCTCAAGGAGGAATTTTCCAGATTTTGAGTGTGGATTTTGGTTTTGTTTTCTTTCGGCAACTGTTAGGAAAGAACAGAACAGACTAGACTATTTCTGTTGGAAGGGACCTACAGCGCTTATCTAGCCCAACTGCCTGACCAATTCAGGGTTGACCAAAAGTTAAAGCATGTTGTTAAGGCATGTCCGAAGGCCTCTAAACACTGACAAGCTTGGGGCATCGATGGCCTCTCTAGGAAGCCTGTTCCAGTGTTTGACCACGCTCTCTGTAAAGAAATGCTTCCTAATGTCCAGTCTAAACCTTCCCTGGTGCAGCTTTGAACCATTCCCACACGTCCTATCACTGGATACCAGGGAGAAGAAATCAGCAGGAGGCTGTGACGACCTCCAAGCATTTCCTGAGAAAGTTTCAATGTTGCAACAAGGAGACCTTAGGCTGCAAGCACAATACAGATCTGTCCTGGCACTTTCAGGGGTAAAAAGCCAGCATAGATATAAATGAGAGCTGCAGAATACTTGCCTTCATCCTGCACACACAAACGCGACTGTGGCAATGTTCTCCTCCACAGTAACATCTCTTCCCATGAAGTTCTTTGAGGAACACAGTCATGAAGGAAAATTTAGCTTACTTGAGCTTGGTAGTCCCCTGATCTTACTATCTTTTCCATATATCCATTAACCACCATGAACTCCAGTTCCCACTGGTAATCAAGGTGCTAATTAGTTGCCAAAACTGTATATTTGACAATTGCCTTATGAAATTGTTAAGTATAACAGTGTTTCTACGGACTGGATTTAGACAGAGATGCCACTAGGAAAGTGGAAATTAATCTGACATCTGCCTAACCTCTTCATAATGTAAATACAGTAATTCTGTAAAATTACATGGACTAAAATACGAGTGAGCAAAATAAATGGTATATCCAAAAAGACAAACCTTGCAAACTGGAACCTTTTACAGTCCACTTGATACAATTTAAGCAATTTAAACAGTGGGGACGTGAAACAGGTGCTTCCCAAATAAACATTCAGGTGAAACTCTGGTAGCAGAGCTTTATTTTTTTGAACCTTCAAGTTACTGAAAAAAGTTATTTATGGTCTATTTAGTGTTTGCACATAGTAATTCTGGAAAATAGCACCTTAAAAACCTTAAATCCACATTAAGCCGAGGAAAATACCTCGCTTCTTGCTAAGAGGTCCACATCTCCCTCTCGTAACATTAACGCTTTTCTACTGCTAAAAGCAAGTGACAAAGCCACAAGCCTTAGCCCTATTTTTGTTATTGCTGGTTTTCAATGATACTACCCCAGTGACTGTGTAAGAGAAAACACAGGCCTGGAGATGCATTTCAGATGCTGTTCATACAGCTATAACTGAACTGGCATTTTATGCAGCGTGTCCTACGCAGAAGCAAGCTATGGTAACCCACTAAAGCAAGCAAGTTCCCTCACCATATAGCAGAGAGAGCAATGCACCTCTGAGCAGAAGTGCTATGCTTTGGAAATATCCACAAAATGCCCCATAGCCATTGCATCCAGAGCGATTGCTACATTTATAAGGATGTCTACAAGTAAATGGGTTCTATTTCGCAAGGTATGAAGAAACAACTGTTTCCACTTACTGGAAGCACAGTAGATCAGTGGCTGGCTTATGCATTATTAAGCATGCAAGAGAAAACATTCCAGATATGAAAGTTAAAGTAGCCACTTTGAGTCAGAACTCAAAATGCTTACAGTTACGACTACAGTTTCTACTAGCATTCAAAAACCCACCTTTTGGGGCTGGTTCTTCAGATTAAAGAAACTGTTGCACCTGCTATTCAAGAAGGGCAGGACCTGCACAACTCACACCCCAAAAAATGTATTCTTTTTCTCTCCAAAACTTCTAGTATCTTTCTCTCCCAAACTTATCAGCATCACCTTCCCACAAGACTTCATCCTAAGTCTAAATTCCTCAGGTGAGCATTTCTGTGATGTAGATACATGCCATGAGACAATCATTCTTCGATCTAGTCCAGCATTTTCAATTTCCCAAAATTTTCAACCTCACTTAATACTTGCACCCTTTACCTATCCCAGTGAGTTTTGCTCTGGGCTTAAGAAGCAAAAAGAAAATACTAAATCTAAAACTTGTAAGGCCAAAGAGATTTCATGAGACCCCTAATAAAAAAGTATTTTAAGAAATCACGAACTAAGTATTCCAATGCTACAACAGCATCTATATTTGTGGATAATATCTGCTATTTTAATCATTCTCAGGCTTCCACGTGGTATGTAGCATCAGTAGCAAGCTGCAAAAGGGAACGTGCTCTCTTCAACAGTCCTATGTTTGTTTTTACATCAAATAACTTAATCAGAACACACACTGCTGTTAGATTTCTTCCAAAGTAATTAAATAACTATTCAATGCCAATTAATCACGGTTAAATAAGGGTCTGTCACCAAAGTGCTATGTACACATTTCAGACTATTTAATGGTCAAATACTTGGCAGTATCAAAGTTAAACAATGATTCATTAAACCTCCTCCACTACACAATAGTTAGGCTAAACTTGAAGTGAAAGAATCAAACCTCTTTTGTTCTCCATGAAAAAGACATCAAACCTCAGTATGTGATA